GAAAGAGGTGAGAAGGAACTGAATTCAATCAGCAGGGAGGGAAAGATGAATTGCATAGCTTTTTAGTAGGTAGAGCTGATGGGAAGGATTCCAACTTATGACTCAGTCATGCCTTTTGTTCTTCTTTCAGCTGCATATATTTGATCATTTTCTGCTTCTTAATTTCAAAGTTTTAATATTTTCAGGAACAAGTTAAGAAAGGGAAAAATTCTAAAAAAAAAGTCTCTCTCAATTTTTTTCCCACATGTCCAGTGTATCTGTACAGAAAGATTGCAGTACTGAACCCAGTGAAGTTTCTGGGTTATCTCTGAATTTTGATTATATACTACTCAGCCAAGTTCATACCGGGCCAACTATTAGGAATGTTCATTTCATTCCAGAAATTCATCAGGCCAGGTGTTCCTGAAACTTTAGAGGAGAGAAGGAATCCTACTAATAACAAGCACTTGGATGACCCCAGAACTCACTAGGCATGCAGGCTTCCTGCTCATTTAACTGAAGATCTCCGTGCTCCAGGCCAGTGCTTCTTCAAGCTCATGGCCTAAACAAGCAGCAGCAGCATCACCTAATATGTACAATCTCTGGCCCCACCCAGATCTACTGGATCAGAATTTCTGGGGGTGGGGCTGGCAAGCTGTAGTTTAACACACCTTCCAAGTGATTCTCATGTATGTTAAAGTTTGAGAACGACTAATGCATGCAAAAAAAGAAAAAAGACAAGAAACTAAAATATGCAATAGACTTCATTCATGTTTCTTTGAATTCTGGATCTCAGATCTAATCACTCACACCTGACTCCCAGGAGCATTTTATCTGTAATGTTCTTGAGGCGGTTGTCAGCATTTACATACAGGCAGCCATCACTGATTCTTTCACCTGCTCAAAGCACTGATGGCAGTGACTGATGAGCCTTTGGTCCATGGAGGGAAAGATGCTCCCTGAGATGTGCTGCTTCTTCTGCCTCCTGGAGATGCTTTTTGGGCTTAAACCTGACAGTTGTTCCATTGTGAAAGAAAACCAACTGAAGGGCACTTACAAAAATATTATCGGAGATTATATCTAAAGGTGAGATTTTATGAGGGATTTAATATTTTTTAGCTCTCTATAGAATAGAAATTCTCATTAAAATATGTAAAGCTGTTTTTAAACTTTTGTTATTTGACCTTTTTGCATAGTTTTAGAAATATAGGTTTCATCTTCCTTTCCAGGATTTACAAGATTTGAGGGCCAGATATTCAACTATTTTTCTCTTTTTTTCCCTAATAACTAAAATGTGCTACAGAAGGGCTACAAACATATCATAAGTATACATTGAATAAAAGGTTCTCTCTTTCATAAGCTTCCAATAACATAAGTATATTCAATAAGAGGCTACTATAACTTGGTCAGAGATTCCTCTGTACCTGATGAGGAATGTTCTAACTCCAGCATATAAGGATTTTTTTTCTTAGACCATTCAAAAGTGAAAATAATAAATGCAGGAGAAAACATTTTTGTTCCATGTGTTTCCTGCTGTAATAGAAATTATGGAACTTAACATGCATTTCAATTAGGAAATAGCAATTCATAATTAAC